TTAATCTTATTGTTATTACTATATGATTTTTTTACATTATAACTTTCATTCATATTTTCATATGAGATCATCAATATACAATTATAAATACAATGACTTAATTAGACTACTCATACTAGAGTACCATTTTTGCACTACATTTCTACAATCCAATCAAAATGAATCACTAACCAGTGTCTTAATCAATTTAATGTCTATCAATATTAAAAAGAAAAAAATTTATATACTTAGTCTTATGCACTTAATGCATTTATTTCTAATTAAATGCAGATCTTTTAGAGATCATTTATTTTATAATAAATCTTATTAATTTTATTAACATATTAAAGTCCATTTGTCAAAATTTGATTGGATATAAGTATATTAAATATATATAATGTTATATATATAAGTCTTACTCTACTAAAATATTGGGATTGAGTGGGGGGTAAGGTCCACAATGTTATACTATCCTTTCAAAATCCGATGAAATATTGGAGGAATTTAATACATGAAAAGGACCGAAATAATTGATTGATTGCATATAAATGTTTTTTTTACAAATAAAATAAAGAGAAAGACACAATATTATATTCTTCCGGTTCAAATTATAGAGTAAAGTTTTAAAATTTTATTTGATACTGCATATAGAGTAAATATATAGTAGTTAATTTTTTTTTCTCTTAATATAACCTCTTAATTGCATTAAGTTTTAATTCCTATAAAAAATTCATTATGATTACTAATTTTGAGATTTAACTGTCATTTTCCAAAATAAAAACCAAAATTTCAGGTCGATATTTTGCATCTATGTCATATTTGTGGTGTAAAAATGTTCTCATAATTTTAGTTTGCTTCATAAGTCAATGAATGTTATCACTTATCAACAAGTATTGACTTTTCTAACATAAATCCAATCTGAATCATTAAAGGAGATAGAGAAAGTTTGATAGCAATTGTATTTTAAATATTTTAAATTGTGTTACAATCATTAATTATTGAATATCAAAGTCCATGCATGTTGATGTCCTCATACAGTTATACCCTACGGCATGGAGCCAAAAGGAGAACAATGGAACTCTGCTTACTTTTCATATACCGAATTTCCACTTATTTTCTCTTAGCTAGCTTCCTTATATATGATTTAGATAGTTTAAAAATATAGATAAAATAAGGAATAATCGTAAATAAAAGAAATAACATTTATACTGAGTCAGATTATCCTTTTACATGTCACACTTCTCTGATCTCTCACTCTAAATGTAAGACTTTAGACTCCAAAACCGCTGAATATCTGCCTGTGTTGAACTGTTGATGATAGTGTAGTTATACTTTAAAATCATTCCATGTTAATTTTTGCAAGCCCATTTTTTTTTTCTGAAAATATTGTAAATATTTGAAATTTAAATTTGATCAATTCTTTTTCTTTCTTTTTAGTCCCCTTTCGTTTTTTTTTTCCCCGAGTAACTAAATTCAACACCGTGTCTGTGTTTCTTTGACCCTAAGAGCACGCTGCATCTTTGTTTACTTTTCAAAACCCATTTATTACTCCAAAACTAAAGTTACAATCAAGTCTTGAAATTCTTTTTTTTTTTTTCAAATTTACGGTCACACCTTCAAATTTTAATTCACATGCAAGATATTTTTGCCCATTGACAATAATTTATTATTTAACAAAGGTTTAGTAAATTTGGTCTTTAATTTCAACCTCAGAGAAAACTGGATCTTGAAAAGCAATTGGTGCGTAGATATTTACATATCATCTATCAATAAAATTCTCACATTAATAGTAAAATTTGATTCCATAGCTTTGTAAGGTAAGGGCTAAATCCTTGCCAACTGAATCAATATTTATTGATAGTTTTAATTTAATATTATTAATAATAAAATGATTTAGATATTCAAACTAACCTGTCAAACGTGGCCCAAATTAATTTTTTCAATATGTTAAAATAAATTGACATTGACTATAAAGTTTTAAAGATAAAACTTATTAAAATTGGGGAATGTTAACATATTTTATGAAGGGCACTTATTCTTTCTTGTTAACCTAATGATACCAAAAGCTCATAGAAAAACAAAATTCTGAGTATTTTTACAACTTATATTTGTTTTTTTTAATGATTAACATTAACGGACATCAAACAAATTTGGCATAATGAGTAAGGATGCGCTTATAAAAAGAATTCATGGGTATCCATATATCATTTACGAATACTAGATGCTCATAACAAAAAAAAATATTCTTGAATATTTTTTTTTTTCCTTTAATCCTATAAACAATTCCAATTCTTTGCAAAAAGCTCTTCTCATTAAGTTTACGTTTTTTGACCTGTGCATCAGTAACTTCTAGCTCTTGGATCTTTTTTTTTCCCCCCCACTCCGAGTGCCTCCTGTATTCTTTAAATTTAGTGTATCTAATATGATTTAAATGCATTTTTGACTTATTAGATTGAAGTTCATACTTCATTCATTCGTTTAAACGATTTATATTTCCATAAGTTAGTTAATTACATTTAAAATTATATATTTTTTTATATTTATTCTTATTTATAATGGGCTCTTAATTAAAAAATTATATAATTATTATACTTTCTAATTAAAGGTATTTTTAAAAAAATTTTGCACCTTGCAAAATTCAAAATAATTTACATTTTTAAATATGATAGTTTAAAAAAATATATTATAATATTAAACTCAGAAAATATTATATTATATTATATTATTTTAATATATAGAGACCAACATAATTTATTAACCAAAGGACAATGATGCAACCTACTTTTGAAAGAATGACATTCAAGAATTACTTAAACAAATTATTTACAGAAAAAGATCAATAATAATTTTCATTCGAGAAAAAATAAATCATATTCCATTTTAACAATGATTAATTTTATATTAATTGGTCCTTGTTGTGAATAACTTTCTTGATTGATTTTTGAATGTGATTCTCCTTTTACTTTGTCAACATCCTTAATGTTTCTAACATTCTTGGATGTGATTATAAACTGAAAGTTATTTAAATTAACGATAATTTATGTTTTAAAATATACTTTTGAATATACAATGATTAAAAAAAATATTAATTTATGATAATTGATAATTTTGGTTATAAAAATATAATATATTTGTCACATCCCAAAAATTGACGTAACCAGCACGAGATATATACATAAATATACATCTCTTAAGCCTTGATCAAGGAAACTTTAATATAGTATTTTAATTCATTTGAAATATGATGGAAGATAATTGTGACAGTTTCATATAAACAAAGATTCATAAACTTTTGAAAAAAACTTTGCCAGAATCTCCCCTTTAAATAGGACCTCTTGAAGTCTCTACAACAGAAATATACAGTCCAAATCAGAAATGTGGAGCTCTGCTCCTTTGCAATAAGCAAACAATATATTACAAATCAAATCTTATCTATAGTTAACGTAGGGTATACCTAATAAAATTTCAAAATATAACAACTAATTAACCATTTACAGGACAAGAAAGATATACTCGAAAGGTCTTCTCCTCAATTCAACAAGGAATCCCTCATAGATAAGCAAAACAGTAGATCATCAATTATATTATTTAAGACAAAAATTTATTTCAGTGAATAACGTCTCAACAATAAATAATTAAACATAAATAAAAGAAAAATTTGAAACAATTATGCAAGTTAAAGAGGACAATAATTTTCATAAAAGTTTAATAAATTTTGAAAAAAAATTCTATATAACTTTAAACAAAATTTTGAATCGTTTAATTTTCATATCAAATGTTACTATCACTTGCTTTTAAAGAAGCAAATAAATGAAATAAATAAATATTAAATAAATTACTAATTAAAACCAATTAGATATAAAATCACCAAGTAATCAAATTCATATTTATAGGGACTTATCAGAACAATTCATAAATGTGAACACACAGTCCACGATAATAAATAACCAAAAGTAGCTTATGTCACGAAAAACAAATGTGGACACATAATTTACAAGGGTAAGTAACTAAACATAGCCGAAGCCACGAAACAAATGTGAATACATAGTCTACGAGGGTAATGCTAACCAAACACAGCTTGAAGCCACGAAAACAAATGTGGGTACGAGACCCACAAATAACAGACGTGAGAACAGAGCTCATGAAAATCAAACTAACTAGTCATTAACCATGGCATGCCAAGGACTAACAGAATTGCCGCTAGCAACCAATGTTCTGTAATAAGTCCTTTTCAAATTCAATTTCAAATATGCAAGAAAATCATCAATAATAAATAAAGTTTTTATTTTCAAAGTCAAACTCGCATGAATTATTTTCTGTATTAATCCAACATTTGATAGAATAAAATTTTATAATCAAAGTCCAAACTTATTTTAATTGATCAAATAACATTCAAATCTGGTAAAACTAATTTCTCAAAATAAAGTAATTTTAATAAACAAACATCCAATAATTGCATTATTGCTATTAAAATGATTTGCAGAAAAACGTAATATTTTAGTGAATGAAATTTTGATTGAAACAATCAGTTGGGACGTTATCCACTTATCTGTAGAGCTGCTAATATTCAAAATTCACTCTTACAACCTCAATCAAGTCTCTTTTCTTCCAAACATCATATAAAAATATATAAAAATAATAAGGTCTAAGTAACTTTCCATAAGTTCAATGAATCCTCTTTCAACATTAACACAACCAATATTTAATCTAAGTAATTCAATATTCCCAAAAGCATCATTTATATCACAGAACTTCCCATAGCTAATTATCAATTAAAAAGTGTGTGTCAGACCTCTAGCAAAAACTCTATCAGTCCACCATTCATGTATTGCTCACTTTATTGAATAACTTAGATGTATTCCCAATTTAAGTTGTAAAACAATACTCTAGTTTATATTCATCACCTATAATGAACTTCATTATACTTCATTTACTTATTTTTGTCTAACACTTTAAATGCATTCTCATGCATTCTCAAGACCAAACGATAAAACAATATCATAGTTAGAGATTACCTAACATGGAACTTTCAAAAATTCAACTAACCATACAATACCTTAAGATCAAGTTTTTAGTAATGTTTAAGTTACATCTCAACTAAATAGAATTTAAATCACTCATGCTTCTCACCCTAATTAATAAGATTTCATAAATGCATAATCAAGCAAAATTCTCCTAACAGGCATTTCACCGAACACCTCATATGGATTAAACTAATATCAAACTTCTTCCCATTCACTTCCATTTTCAAAAATTCTCTTAACATCAATATTTAAATAAATCAGCCTCCTAAATTTTTTTTTCTCGATTAGTCGTAACTCAAGGAATTAGTTCTCCATCTCCTCCATTCTTCACGGCAGTAACAAAAGGAAGTGACAGATCAAAATTTTTCATTATTTAAACACACCCACACAAACGAACAAGGAGTAGGGAGAGAGAGACCGGACGCACTTGAAGCAAACAGAGATGGAAGAAAGACGACGATGGTACAGGGGAAGAGACAACCACCATTAAAAACTCATACAGCACACACTAACTCCCATAATAGCATCATTTTTAAAACCTGGTAAATGAAGCTTTCGAGCTCACCCATGGCAGCATTGACAGCTGCAACAGTGAAGAAGGAGGCGACGCCCGAGGTTGCAGATCGAAGGCTCGAACAAACCTTCACAGGAAAAGTAGAGGAAGAAGAATGGCAGAACACAAATCCTCATCTCCCTCACCAGCGATGCTAAGAACGAAGGAGGAAGATGAAATTTAAACACCCTCATGCACCATCGTCAGCCTACAGCAAAGAAGAAACAGAGGAAGAGTTTTAACTACTCAACTCCACAGAGGCATACAGACAAGAGAGGGAAAAAGAAAGGATGGACTGCTGGTGGGGGGGGTGATAACACCACAACAAGATCGAGGGAAGTGCGACAGGAAGAGGAGAAGAGAGGAGCAAAATCATATACAAGCTCCCTGAATTTGGCTTTGCCCAGCTGACTGAAAAGGAAAGGAAAATTTAAGTAATGAGGCCCATTGATAAAATTACAATAACCCCTAGATATTTTTGCGGAGTTACAATAAGAACAAGGGCACATATATAATTTCCAACTCTTTCATTACTTTTTGCTGTTCGAATGGCAGTGGAGGAGGAAAAGAGTCCGACATTAATGAATAATTGGAAAAATTACGAAAAAAGGCACAATGAAAATTATAAGAAAGGACACAAAATTTTTTTATAATTTAAAATAAAATAAAATCAAACTTTTACTCAATAAAATTCAAATTCTAAACCTCAAAAAGTTACTAACATAAATTCTATTAAATTACTTCTCTTCATATATTATAAAACTAATTTAAATGAAATATCAATTAAAAAAATTATTAATTTATTATTTTTATTATTTTTTTTAATTTTAAATTTAGGGTCATTATAATATAAAAAATGTGAACAAATTTAAAATAACATAAAATTTAATATGTTCAAGGATAAAAATAAAAAATATATAGTTTAATATTAGAAAGAAAAATTAAAACATAATCAGGGTATCATGTTTATTTATAAAAGTAAGTACAATCCAACTCCCATTTGTAAAAAATAGAGTTGGCAAATGTATATTTTAACCTTATCTCAACTCACAATTAAAAAGTCATTTGGCTTACTTAAAAATTATCCAAATAATATTTAACATTTTAAAAGTTGAAAAGTGAATTTCAAATATCAAACTTTGATTACCCAAATGCACCATAAGATGGTTTGAAAAATCACTCTCTTCCGCTACTTACTCTCCCCGTAACCCAATGGTCAATCAATCCCTTGCTTCGGTTCTCTCAGCGTTAGGTTAGCTAGATAGACGACACTAATGACCAAATCCATTAGACTTAGAAAAAAGGGGCAATATTAATTAAATGCTCATGTAGAATATTTCATCTCTAACAGATAGACACTAATGACCTTATCCATTGTGCTAACTATTTTAAAAAAAAACTTAACGATCAAATTTGTTAACGTTAGAGTACTACCACGTTTATTGTTACATTTATTACTATTATTTTAAATTTAAATAGAAGATCAATAGTTGGTAAGTACCCTACATTATTCTTGATCGAGCCAACAACACTTACATTTTACAAATAGCAAAGACCACTTCACTTTATCCAATGACATAGTTGCAGTGGTAAATACATTTTTTTTGCCAAGCATGCAATGGAAAATATATTAGGCAAACAAAGTTATCGAGGAACTTTAACCTTTCATGAGTTGTTCAAGTGTGATGTTTGTTGAACTAGTTCATTGAATAAGGTTTAGGCCTCACAAGTTCCAAAGATACTTGTTCCATGGTTGGACGGCATTGTGGATTATCATTCAAACAAGCAAATGCTATTTTTGCAATCAGCATTACTTCCTTAACAACTTGGTTTGAAGGTGGAGGAAGCCGTTGATCCAATACATCCTTAAGTGAGAGATTGTAAGATGTTGGAATATTCTTTGCCAAAGAATAAGTAAACTCCCCTGGATGTCTTCCCATTAGGATTTCCAAGGTAAGAACCTCAAAACTATAGACATCACATTTTTCATTTGCTTGCATTGTAAAAGCAATTTCTACATAAAAAAAAGATAAATTAATTATGAGAATAGTGCATGGGATAATAATAAAGATTTTTGGCTGCAAAGAAGGTGACCTCACCTAGAGCAACATAGCCATAGGTGCCAGCAAATGAGGTCATGTTGTTGGAGTCTAGCTTTAGAAACTTTGCTATTCCAAAGTCCGTGATATGAGCTTCTTGATATTCTTGATCTAATAGGATGTTTTTGCTTGAAATGTCAAGATGAACTATAGGGCACGAGAGACCATGGTGCATGTGGAATAATGCATCAACCATACCTCTAACAAGAATTACCCTCTTATCCCAATCAAGTTTAGATGCTTGCAAATCATTTTTTAAAATTTTATCCAAGCTACCACCTTCTAGGAACTCATAAACATGGAATGAGAGGCGTGAATTTGAATAAAACCTAAGCAACTTCACAACATTACGATGTTTGATTTCTGTCAATGCTTGAATTTCACTTGAAAATGCTTTAAGATTAGAAAAATTTGCATTACAATTTGGATGGAGTTTTTTCACAGCAAAAATCTGACTATCAAGTAGCTCAACTTTATAAACGCTTCCTTGTGCTCCAACTCCAATGAGATATTTGTCATCAAAATTGTCCATAGCCTCAACAACTTTTTCACGCAAGATTTCCTCGTCAAAACCCAAAATGGAGAAAAGATTGAGTGTTATTGCTTCTCCATCATGACCTTTTCTTTTCTTTGATTTTTGAATAAGAATATATGAAATTCCACCCACTACTAGCATTAGAGTCACAAAACAAACAAGCAATGACACTAATAGCTTCACTATTTTGTTCACATGACTTTGTGGGTCATTGCTATGCTTATTGCAAAGCTCTAAGCCAGTAACATTACCACATAAACTTGTGTTATTTCTCACTACCTCAAATGTAATATTTTGAAAGGCTGGAATGTTCGGAAGAGGTCCCTCTAAATGGTTGTACAATATGTCAACCAATGTCAAGCCTAACATATCATCAAAATCAGATGAAATGGTGCCGGAGAGATTATTATGTGAAAGGTTCAAAATTCACAACATCTTTAATGTCCCAAGTGTTGCTGGAATTCCATTGCTCAACATATTCTCACTAAGATCAAGTTCTTCTAGAGCCTGTAACTGACCAAACTCAACAGGAATACTTCCCTCAAATTTATTTTTGCTTAAGTTCAAGAGCAATAACTTGCCAAGTCTTGTGAGCTCTTTAGGGATTGAAATGTTGAAATTATTTGCTGCTAACTCCAACTTTTCAAGCTTATTCAATGATCCTATTTCGAGGGGAATCTTGCCAGAAAATTGATTGTTGCTCAAAGAAAGTCTAGTCAATGAGTTCATTTTCCCTATTTCTTTAGGAATTTCACCAGTCAAGTAATTTGAAGAGAGGTTAAGTTCCCCAAGATTGGTTGCCTCTCTTACTTCTAGTGGTATACTGCCAAAAAGATTGTTATTAGAAATTTTAAGCGTTGAAAGATTATGAAACATTTCCCATAATGATGAAATGGGGCCATAAAATTTATTGCCACTCAAATCAATGTATTTCAAATTTGGAAGCACACCAAAATCACTTATGTTTCCAACTAATTGGTTATCATCAAGAAAGAGTCTGACAAGGCTAGAGCAGTTTCTCAAGGTTCTTGGAATTGGACCAGTGAATTTGTTTGCAGAAGCAGCAAAAAATTCAAGTGATCCTCCAAGGCAAATTTGCTGCGACAAATGGCCAATTAAATCATTCCAACTAAGTTGTAAGCTATTCCAGTTTGAAATGTTATTACTTTCTGTTGGAATGCTCCCATTGAGTTTGTTCCATCTCAATTCTAGGATCCTGAGCCGTTTCAAGTTTCCTATTATAGCCGGGATTTGTCCAGAAAGAGAGTTATTGTTGAGAGAAAGGACTTCTAAATTGACCAAGCTTCCCATAGAGGATGGAATTGATCCTCGAAATTTGTTGTGCCCCAAAAACAATTGAGTGAGTTTTGTGAGGTTTCCAATAAAGGGTGGTATTGGGCCATATAATTTATTTTGATGGATAAAAAGAAATTTTAGTTTGGTCAAATTTTCTATTGTAGCAGGAATAGATCCAGAAGAGAGTTAACTCTGAGGTTTAGATATTCTAATTTGATCAGATTTCCTATCGTAGATGGAATAGGTCGAGAAAGATTGTTAATCCCAAGGTAGAGGCTTTGTAAATTGACCAAGTCTCCTAAAGAGGATGGGATTGATCTTGAAAGTCTATTGGCCCACAAACTTAACCAAGTGATATTTGTGAAGTTTCTAATAAAGGGTGGTATTGGCCCATACAAGTTGTTTTCTGACAACTCAAATATTGTGAGAGAAGAGAGATTCTCAAATTCAAAAGGAATGGGACCTGACAAATGATTTTTGTAAAGAGATAATATTGTCAAATTCCTCAAGTTTCCAATTTCTTTAGGAACAAGTCCAGTGAGATTATTCTCACCAATTCCAAGCACATTTAGAGTAGTCAACGCCCCTATTTCTGGAGGGATAAAACCGCTCAAGAAATTCTGAGCCATACTCAACATAAAAATATTGGACAAGTTACCAATTTGGCTAGGAATAGTTCCAGAAAACTCATTGTCTTTGATATCAAAAACTTGGAGTTTGGGGAAAGATGAGAAGTTGAGACTGTGAAGGGTACCTTGTATTCCCATACTTGTGAGATTTATGGTGGAGACAGACATGGATTCATTACAAGTAATTCCTTTCCAGTGATTGCAAGGATCGGTGCCATTCCAAGAAGACAACATGGCTTGGCTTGGCTTTGCAAGGCTGGATTTCCACTTTAGCAGAGCATTGGATTCCTCAGTAGCAGCAAGGGACGAAGAGAATATCGCAAAGACACAGAAGAAGAATATGCAGAGAATTTGCCATGATGTTAGAAGTAGAGAAAGAGTGAAGAAATCGGTCTTTTGGAACTTGAACACCATAATTTGGCAACTTCAGAATTTTGTTCTTCAAGCGGAATTTATGTGGTGGGAGAGAAAGAGAGAAAGATTGATGAGTATCCATGGGCTCATAGGTGGGGTCTTTATATAATAAAAAAAAACCGACCCACTGTAATAAAAAGCAAAAAAATTATAATTTATATTAAAATAATAAATTAATGCTAACTAGATTTTCAATAAATTTGATAAAAAAGAGTTAAAAATATCAATTCAAATATTTATAAATTTAGGAGTTTTAATTATAGATAAAATAGTTTTAAATATAACTCTTATATTGTAACTGATATTTTTGTTTGTAATTTTCTAATGAATTGATATATTTTTAACTTATTTTTCAAAAAAATAAAATCAAAACTTACCTGTTATTAATTTAATATTTTGCGATGCAACTATCATTTTCTCATATAAACAAAATATTACATCTATATTGAGATAATGCTTATTTGACTTTTAGTTAATTCAAAAAATCAGTTTATCAAAAAGTCATTTAACAATTTCAGAAGGTATTGAAAAGAGACACATCTTGAAATGGTCTGCATTGATAAAGAAAGTTTGAAGAGTATTCTATCATCGGGAACAAAAGAACAAAAGGAAGAATATTAGACACACACACGTTGCATGTCCATATCTCCATGTCTTCTGTGTCACCAAGGTATACGTGCAGTCTCCCTCAACTCTTGCATGACACATGTAAAAAAAAAATTATCACGCAAGTGTCCTAATAAAAACAATCATATTCAAACCATGATTGAGTAATAAATATTGGTACATTTCTTAGTAAAATTGAAAATTCAAATTTTAATTCATGACCAAAAAAATTTAAAATTTAAATTTATCACATTGTGAAAAATTAATCTCTTATATTAGATCAACTTTTTTTTTTGGTACATGCCCGAAGCTTTATAATAATTTTACTTCTCTCTTACACGGTTTTGACTTATTTTAATATAAAATAGTTAATAATTAGAATTGTAATAATTAATTAGTACCAATAGGGACACAGCTTCAACCACGCAATCTAATTAATAAACTATGAACCAACTCTTAAAAAATTGGGGGGAAAAGTAAGACTAATGTTTAGTACAATTCACAAATCTCTTGTCCCACTTAAAAACACTTTATAAGAACGCTTATTTTTTGCCTACTGTACTCTTGTGGTTTTTTTAAAAAAGAAAAAAACCCCAAGGAGGGTATAAGGCCCTCCCTTATACTTCTTGTTTTTAAGAAAAATGTGGCGAAGCGCTTTGGGGAAAGTGCTTTGGAAAGTAATAGGGTACAGAAGTACTTTCACCGATATCGCTTCCATAAGTATCATAACCTATTATATTAAATGTATGAAGTATTAACTTAAATTGTTTAAATAATAATATAATTTTAATACACACATATGTACAAGCCAGTCGCAATTTTTCAGAATCATATGACAGGCCATGTAAAAATAGGTTTGGCATATTTGCCTAAATAAGACTAACCATAGGCATGAGTCTAGCTTAATTAGTAAACAGGTTAGATCTAGCCCAAAGTGAGTGAGGTTGGGTGTCTTTTGTAGCTTATCACTCCAAATGAATCTCTACCCCTTAGAATACACATATCATCATGATTATCAATATGGAAAATTCTTAATTTTTTTAACATTATATATTTAATATATTTTTATTTAATCAAATCATGAGCCATGGCAATTGAATTTAAATGTGTTAATAATATATATAAGACATGTTGAATATAAAAGATTACATATATAAGTTTTTCTATAAATATTTTATATGTTTTAAAATTATATTTATCTCACAATTTTGTTCAAATTATGTTTTTCTTTTACTTCCTCAACATTAGCATTTGCCACCCTCGTGTAGAAGCGGGGCAAGGGAGCATCGCATAGGTATATGAATTAGTAATGACGCTTCAAAACTAACGTTATAAGATCACAATCAAGTCTTAATTTCTTTATAATATACTTTCCACAGTCCACACTTTCAAATTTTAATTTAAATACAAAACATATTTTCCGATAAGCAGATTGCCGGCCAAAACAATGTCTATCATTTTTATATTTTAGAAGAGTGTCTTGTGCTCTGTCTCATACCAAGCAAACTCTTTCTTAAATATTTTAGATATTTAAGATTAGAGTATATATCAAACATTTGTCATATCAATTAGTTGGAAACAAACGTTGTTCTTTTAATATGTCCATGTAATATCAAGAGGGCATTATTAATAAAAAGGACGATATCAGAGCGTTGCTTGTACTTTTCAAAGTCGTTGCCTGTCAATTTTTAGTTGAAATTTGTAAACGAATTTTGAATTGTAGATTATTACTTTTCAAAGTCGTTGCCTATCGATTTTTAGTTGAAATTTGTAAAGGAATTTTGAATTGTAGATTATTTTAAGTATTAAAGGGCAAAAATACTCACTAACTTTTTTCTGTAAGTACTTAATATCCTTAAATGAAGAATAGTGTAAGAGTACCTATAATATTGATAAAGTAGGTGCAAAAATAAATAAACCGTTAAATTGACTAACATTCATTAATATTAACCATTAAAAAAATAGAAGCAAATATAAGGTGAAAAAAATACTTATAAATCTTTTTTTTTAAAAGCTTCTGGTATCCTAAAGTCAATAATGGTATTCGGATATCTATTAATTTCATAAAATAAGTCAACCCTTTCCAATCCATTAAGTTTTATTCTTAAAACTTCACACTCAACATTCAATTATTTTAACAAATTTCTAGCATAAAAAAATTTAATGGATTGGGAAAGGTAAGATTCAGTAATTTAGTCATTTTAATGAATTTTTGGCCAAAAAAAAGTTAATGGATCAGAAATGGATAGATTCGATAATTTGGATCAAATCTAACATGCTTGTAGTAACTTTGAAAAAAATATAATTATATTAATATTAATAATAACATTTCATGTATTTATTTAAAAAAAAATAGAATCGATGCAACAACGTGAAATTGTGGCCTAATGATATGCGTGGTGGCAAATCATTTATTGGGCCAAGTTCGAATCCCTTTGCAAAGACAGGAATTTTATTTTGCTTTTAGGTCTTGGTAAAATTATCGTTATGGCCCTCTTTTAAAAATAATAACAAAACCATTAGATTTTTCTTTCTCATTGCTACTCATTTTTCCCGTGCACACAGAGAGATAGAGAGAGAACACTGTCAGAAAAATCTTCCTCTGTTTTTCCTCCTCATTCCCGGTTGATTTCAGTGACCATGTGAAGGAGAGAGCTCGATTCTTTCATCCCCTCCACCGTTCATTCTGGATGCCATCGTTGATGATTGCGGGTGCGCCAGACTTCTCTTCTCCCTTCGTCTCTTCCTCCATTGTTCTTCCTCTGCTCATATTGCATCGACGTCTTCTCCCTCTTCCCTTGCGTCACTGCCAATCTGCTCTTCTCCTTAGTTTTATGTGGCCGCTGTTCGATTGTGGCCGTGGGGAGCCTCGACCCCCTTTCATCTTCTTCTATTTGCTAGGTTCTATTGGTGAGTTGAATCTCACCTCTCTTTTCTTCCTAATTGAATCTGTGTATGAGTGAATGATGGGTGGTTGAAATTATGTTCTTTCTTTGTTGAATTGTTATGTGTGAATGTGTAGAGGTAGGGATCCGAAACCAGCTAAGGTGTATGTTTTAAGAGCATTTCTTTGATAGATAAGTTCACTATATTACTGTGGTTTATGTAAGAGGAGGAAAATGGATCTAGATTGGAATTTTATTGGAGCGGAAATTGATTCTGGATGGGATATGAATTTCAAATATATGTGTGTGGTAAATCTTAATGTTGATGCTGAAAATTATTATTGGGCAAGTGATTGGAGGGTCAGAAATTCTGTTGAATGGTTTGGAAATAATGCAGTAGGACGTTTGAAATAAGGCCTAAGAGAAAGTTATAATCCAATGAAGTAAGTACCTATGGCAATAATAGAAATCTTAGATATAAATGAAAGTGAATTAAGGAATTTTGATTTATTAAAGTTGCTTTTGATTATATAAATGTTGAAAGGGAAATTATTTGATTTGAACAAAGTCTATTAAAATTTCCTTATAAATTTTATAGGATTTGGAGGAAGATAAATTTGAAAGGAAGTTTAGGAAATAAATTTAAGAAATTTTGAAAAAGATATTTGATTGATAATTCAGGGGCCATGTTTGTTTGTTCTTATGGTAACTTTTGGGGCACATATGAAGTGATTGATGAAAGGTTGAAAAATATGAGGTTAGGCAAGTGAAATGAGTCATAGTAAAATTTTATTTCCAGTAAAAATATTTGAAAATGTTGAATATTGTGTATATAGGTATTCTAGATGTTTATTTATTAAACTCAATATGTAATATTATTATAAATGATGACATATTGAAGATTTTCTTTTTTATTTCTCTAAATTATCTTAGATTGAAGATTTTTGAATTAAAAAAAACTTATAAAAGAATAACAATGATATCACTTGAGTGTTAGAGAATTAAGAAGCGAACAATATTACAAAAGCAATTAATTAAGAGTAATTTATGTAATTAGATATAGGTATTTTGATTGGCGACTCATGAGCTAGATTGCTATTAATATGTTAGTCTTTGGACTTTCTAAGAAATAATTGATGCAATGTTTGAAAATTGTTGGGAAAATAATAATAATAACAATAATTTTCTATTCTTATCCTTGAATGAATT